TGCAAACCAAGGAGTGGAGCAAGGCACCCAGGGGAAGTGGAATGAGTCTCCCACAGCAAATTACATGAGCAGCATCTGCAGGAATAGACACTGGTGTGCATGTAAAGAAACCCCAGACCTGCTTGTGGATGCATGTACCCAGAACCAGTCCTGAAACAGGCATCTTTTAACCAGAGTTAACAAAACTCTGCTCTTTGTAAACTCATCTTTACATAAGTTCACTTCATCATTCACTGAAAGTGCAGTTAAACTGACACTTACAGAATCAGCAAAGATAATTATTTGAAAGCATCTTTGCTGCTGGACAGCTGCAGGTAGTGTGACAACTCTCTTTTTTATACAGCAGCTTACTTTAATGAAACAAAAGAAAATGTAGTTTATAATTCAGAGGTAAATTGTACTTCCAACACGGTGTATTTTAACTGATCTAGAAATATTGACATCCTGATTATTTTATTTTAAATATATGACTTCAGTGCCTGGAGGGAATAGTCTCTAAATGAATCTGCTTGGACCTAGCAGTAGCAGTTACATGCCTTGCATGCTTAGCTGTTCACACTTTTTCTTTTTAGCAATAGGTATGTTTTGTTGGCTCAGCTAAAATAGAAAATCTTGAATTGCCTTTTTTTTTCCTCATCAAATACTGTTGATGGAGAAACTAATTACTACGTTTGTAAAAAATAATACCTTTACCTAATGGGCTTCATTCATCTTTATATTTCTTCTAGGCAAGCTAGATCAAAGAAAAGTGAATGAGGGAGAGAATAAGTACACAAAACCCTTTACACATAGAAATAAAATAATATACTGAAATATATTACATTTTCTAATTCTGCTTTTGTTTTCTTTTTGCATCCTCAGATTGTTTTACAGACTTCAAAAATGCAATTTGTCAGAAGTCTGATTAAAGACCTGTGCTAGAAAAACTATACAAATAATATAGGTCAATGTGCTGGTTCCCAAATGTATAGCGATAGTTAGAAAGACGGTCAGTGTCACTATTATGGATATGTTTCGAAGAGTTTTGATGACCATTATATTTCATTGTTGAGAGAGATTTGCATATGGAGATTATACAGAAATCAAGGGAACTAGCCTAAACTTTTCATGTTTAGGGTTCTCTTGGCTTTTACGCTCCAGGCTATGACTTCTTGGCACAGTAGTTGCACTTTCAGTAAGGAGAAGGGCCCATTTCAGGAAAGACTCCTTTGCCTGCTTCAAGACTTCTGACTCTCAGTTGCAGCGTTTCAGAGCTGTGTGGGTACGGAGTTCAGGTGCTGCCTCCACAGGCTCGCTCTTACGGCCAGTATCTCAGGCAGAGGTGGAACTTGTGTGGCGGTCCTTACATAAGGATGCGCAGGAGGGAGCAATCCAGCCCCTGCAAATTCTGTGGAAAAGGATTTGGTTTTGAAGGCTTTTCTAAGTTGTCTGTTCGTCTGTTTATGCTGTGGGTACATGTTGAAGGTGTGTTTTGTTTGTTGGGGTTTTCTGGTTTTTTGGGGGGGCAGGAGTGTGTGGGTTTTTTGGTCCTTGGGGGAGGTGTTGGTTTTTTGTTTGTGTGTTTTGGTTTTTTGTTTGGTTGGGTTTTTTTGTTTTTGTGGTTCGTGGTTTTTTTTTTTTTTTACTCTAGCAGCGTAGTAGGTGCAGTCTTCAGACTCCTTTTTCTTTCTCCTCCTGTGCATAACCGTAGTGTAATGAAGTGGGTAGTGAGTTCCTGTTCCTCCCAGTTGCTCAGCTGACTTAAAGCTTGTCCTTTTCTCATGCGAGAACTTGCAATGAGGTTTCCATCTGCTACCTTGATTTACTGTTCTCTTGTCTGATTAGGGTCTCTGAAGACTCTCCTCTGAGTAGTTGCAAGTAAGCTTCTACTTGCAGTTCCCCACAATGTATTTAATACATTTAAATTAATGCATCTAAAATAATTAATACACTTCAATTAATAAAATAGCACAATGCATTTAAACAGGTAGAGGTTGAGGTAGAGAGAAACTTAAACTGTTACTGTTTTTCTCTTTATATTATGAGAAGTGCATTCACATCCTTCTTTGTCTCTCCTTCAGAGTCCAACCTTGTCTTTGGATATTCTGATTGAGAGAAAGGAGTGTTTCCTGCCTCCATTTTTACCATGTGAGATGCATGCAGCAAGAGTAGGAGTTCAGCTAGGTAGGAAGAAATTCTTTGGCCCCAAAATTCTCCCACAGCATGACTGTACATGTAAACAACTATGTCAGAGAGCAACTATGGCATGTGAGTAGCCTGTCTTTCCAGAGGATGCTGTTTGGATTTAGAGGCTGCGGAAAGGTATTGTTGTGAAGGAATCTTTGCTTCTGTTACTGACTTCTGCACACAGGGGATAGGTGTGGAGAAATCCTCTTGACACCTGCAGGATACAAGACATCAGACCTGTCAACATTTACATCTCAGTCCTTATTAATACCAGGATTAGTCCCGTGAAAGTCAATATCCTTTTTGTAATGGAATCCATGGCATCCATAAATATGTACAGATATAGTACCTGGATGAAGAGTACCGGTCCTTTTCTTTCTTTCTGGAGAAACAGGATTCTCTTTTTGTTGTGTCCTGGGTAGAGCTGTTTTTTGAAACTTGGCTGGGATATAGTAGCCCGGTTACATAAAGACCATGGAGCTTCATTTACAGCCAGGGAGACAGAGAAGGCTGAGATTCCAGTACAAATGTTTAATTTTATTCTTGTTTAATTTCTGTCCATTATATTCACACATTTATGGGTATTTCTGAGACTTTTAAAATTAAAAGAAATAAAGTTTGTATTTCTTTAATGTGAAAGTACCATGTTCCTAGGTGTTGGAATACCTGCTGCTGTACTGTGTGCAAGAAAAACAGCTTTTGAGAGTCTGTGATGTGGTATCTGTCCTTCATTTTGCTTCCTAAATACACATACATAATCTTACAGAAACCTGAATTAGAATTAGCTGTTAGCAATGTACTTGTATGATCTGTAAGTTAGTAATATCCATTAGCTATGATATAACCTACATAAACTGGTTGAATTTGGATAAGAATAGCGCATAATGCTTGAAATGCCACCCTTGCAGAAAATGAACTACCAAAACATTGGAACAGGCGCTTTATGCTCCTATATACATGAGTGCACAGAATTTCTATGAGCAGATCCTGCCTGCTGTGAGCCACAAGCAATTTATAGGGACAGATTCATATTGGAACATGACATCATAAGATATACTGCTTAGAAAGGTAGGAATATGAATTTAATTGCCTAGAACCACCCTTGCAGAAAATGAACTACCAAAACATTGGAACAGGCGCTTTATGCTCCTATATACATGAGTGCACAGAATTTCTATGAGCAGATCCTGCCTGCTGTGAGCCACAAGCAATTTATAGGGACAGATTCATATTGGAACATGACATCATAAGATATACTGCTTAGAAAGGTAGGAATATGAATTTGATTGCCTAGAAGCTTCCCCCTCCTTTTTTTCTGAAACATAAGTGAATTTAGCAGAGAAGCTAAAATTGACTATTAAATTTATGTACCGCTCAGATGTATTATGTCTTTGATCTATTTATTTTAGTTTAAATTAATGAGGATTAGATGTGTCCAGGTCTTAGCTGGAAGGCTTCTAAAGGCAGCAAAATAAAGTGGTAGGAGAAGAGCAGTTCATCTTATGATGGCTGGTGCTACAGTAATGTTAGGGAGCAATGTTTACTACCCATTCTGCTTTCTGAGCATAGCTTTTAAAACACACTGGTCTTACTGTGGAGTATCTTTTAATTAACAGCCCTTTGTTTCATGTGTTTAGGATGTTCATTTCATAGAAATAGAAAGTTTCCACCTCATTAAACAGCACACTGCAGTTCAGTGAGATCAAATGTATTAGAAGTCAATATTGCTGATTATTTTTTCCTGAATTGCTCCATTAATTAGCAGAACGACAGTTCTGCCATTATGGAGTTGTCTCAAATCTCCAGTCTTCCCCTCCGGAAAGGCAGTGATGTCTCATAACTGTGTGCTATCAGCAAGCAAGCTTGTGGGACTCAGTAAAGCTGCTAGTGGCGAAAGTTTTTTGGGTCACAGCAATAGGTTGTTACTACTTGGGATGTTTGTTATGATAAAGCTAAAGGATTTAGGTTGGATCTAAAATGATATTGACACTGTGAATATTCTGTACTTATAAAATAAGTGTCTGGTTATTGGAAGTTTCAAAAAATCAGGGAGTTGAAACTTCAACTTTATTCTGGTACTGAATGAAAACCATTACATCGTTGATTGGTGTCTAGATTTTAGTAGAAAGGGGTCTTCAGCATTAGAATCTGCAGTATGCAAACTTGTCATCAGTCTTGGCAAACGGGTAGGGATTAAGCCAGCATCAGAACCAGTGACCGTCCCTTCTGTAAAGCAAAAGTACGTTGTCAGAGCATGTGAATTCACATTCACGTTGATGTGAACCTTGTCCTACCGCTTTCTGTGCTGTGCTATACATACTCTACAGATAGGCAAAAAATACATGCTCTAGGCCTGTTGTTTTGTCAAAACAGTCAGTAACGTGAAGGAGCAATTACTTTCCTACCTTTTACTCACAAGGAATCAAAGCACTCTTTCCTTTGTGAGGAAGGCAGAGCAAAGGGCAGTGGATCCAAGTGTACGTGGAACATAGATTTAGATACATTTTCTGTATCTAAAAAAATAAAATAAAAAATGTTGCAGAACATTATTCCCCCCCCCATTACAAAATGAAACTTTAAAGTAGAAGAGAGGGGGAATGAATAACAGTTTTTGAATCTTGCTGGGTGATAAAAGAAATCAATGTTCCTAAATTGTGTCACTGATGATAAGTTTATGAAGTAATTAGAGGAGCAGCTGATAGCATACTTTTGAGGAATCAAATACTACACAGACAGAAGGCGGTGTTGTTTTGTTTTGTTTTAAACATCAAGAATTGTCTAATTTTTTCTGTGGTTTGCTCTTGTGCTTGAGTAAATTTCTTTGAATTCTCCAGGTGCTTTTCCCACATGAGTGCAAGAAGAGTAGTCAGTTAAAAGAAGTCACTGCTGTGGAGGACAGCATGACCACCATGAAAGGAAGCTGCCTCCTTGCACTGCTGTTGGCAGGACTTGGGGTATTAGGAATACTGGAGCCAACAACAACAGAAGATACCCACTGCCACCGAGCTGAGCACCCAGTTATTACATACAAAGGTAAGGGGTAAGCGCAAAAAAACTTTTCCAGAAGTAGGCTAAGGATTGTGTAATCTCTTCATTGAAACCTCTGTTTTTAATGTGTAATGATATGGAAAAAAAAAGTGTATTCAGTGCTGTTACATAGTAACCTGGACTGTATTCCATACAAGTTAAATACAACTAGGCTTGCAAAGTTTGTTAACAATTTGGTGCTGAATGTGTCATTTAAAGGTGGGTGACTCATTTTCCTCTGTGATTAAAACCAGGCTGTACTGTTGCATGGGGTTGTTCCTTTCCAGGTATAGGACTCTGCATGTGTACACTTAATTTCATGAGGTTGCTCTTGGCCCATTCCTCCAGCCGATCTAGGTCCCTCTGGATGGCAACCCTGCCCTCAAGCTTACCAACTGTTTCTCTGAATTTGGTGTTATCTGCACACTTTACAGACTGCACTCTGTTGCCTTGGTTGTTGATTAAGGTGTTAAACAGGACAGGTCGCAGGATCAACCCTTGTGATATTCCACTTGTTACTGGCCTCATGGTGGAGTAAGGTCCATTAAACATTTACTCTCTGGGCTTGATCATCCAACCGGCTTTTTACCCATCTGGTTGCCCATTTGAAGAGACAGACCATAACATCCTAACTTGCAGTGAGACAGTGTTGAAAGCCTTGAGATAAATGACATCCCCTGCTCTCCCCTCATCATTAAAACTAGTCATTTTATTATAGAAGGCAATTGGGTTGGTCAGGAATGATTTACCCTTGGCAAATCCATGCTGACTGTTCTCAGTCACCTCCTTCTCCTCCATATGTCCAGAAAAGTGCATTCCAAGAGGACTAACTCCATAACTTTCCCAGGAACTTAAGTGAGATTGACTGGCCTGTAGTTCCCACGTTTGTTTCCCTGCAGTTACTGAGGACCTTCCTTCATCTCTGTGACTTCTCAGAGATGAAGAGTGGCCGATTATCTTGGTGTCTGTGGATGCAGCTTTTCTGATCCCATGGATTTATATAGGTTGAGATCTTGCAAGTCATCCCTGACTCAGGCTGCATCTACTGCTGCTAGTTCTTGAACCCCTTCGCTAAACACCAGATGCTTTTGAGACCTTGTGAAGACTGAAACAAAGGAGGTATTGAGTCCCTCAACGTCATCTGTGTCTGCTGGCACTAGATCACCTGCCCAATTCAGCAACAGGCTTCTATTTTCCCTGTTTGACCTTTCATTACTATTGTAGCAGTAGAAGCTGCTCTAGTTGCCCTTGACATTCCATGCAAGTCTTAACTCCCATTGAACTTTGTTTAACTTGACACAATCCTTACATGCCCATGTGGTGTTTCTAAATTCCTCCTTGGTCACCTTGTCCCTGCTTACACCTCATATATACAGCCTTTTTGCATTGGAGCTCCACCATGAGTTCCTTGCTTCTCCAAGCCAGTCTCTTCATACATGTGGTTGTCATCTTGAGTGTTGGGATGGACCGCTGAGGAACAGCTGGAGCAAAGTGAAGAACACTTGGAGGATGTTGTCTGTAAAAACCTGAGGCATTTAATAACTTATCTGATTTTTTTATTTATTTGAATTGAGATTTTTCCATTAGTCGCAACTTAGAACGAGTTCCAAATAGTTTGGAGCTATGAGGATGTAGGGATTAAGATGTATTATATTACATATTGCATTCCTCCTGTTTTTCTCAGAAAGCACATGTGTAATTTTTTTGTTCCAATGAATTAGGATTTATTGAATTTTAATTGAAAAAAGATTTGTTTCCATTCTTTTCATAAAGTTAGAGAAAATAATGTTGTGTTTTCTACAGAAAGTATTTTTGTTCTGGCATTTTAATGGTTTAATAAGAGTAATGGTGCCAGCTGTCACTTTCTCCAATACATTGGAGAATGAACTAAAGTGGTTACATCCTGTACCTGGGAACTGCAAACCATCAGTCTATTGTGAAGGAGGGACCTTTATCTCTCATTTACTCATGGACTAAATAGTATGATTTATTCTGATAAAATACCTGTTTTTCTTAGCATGCATGTTGTGTGTATAATTTAGTTTAAAAATGTTATTTTTATCATAACGCGCATACACAATGTTGTAAATTAAAGTAACAGTTAAAATTCTGGTACTTAACTGCTTAATTTCACAAACTAAGGGATCACTGCATGTACTTTTTTTTTGGTATATGCAACTGTAAAAGCAAATAATTGAGACTCTTTACCAGAGCCACATGCTAAAAGTTGATTAAAAATGTGTTGGTTTATGAATCTGATTCAGCCAATGTTTAGGAGAGTAGCTTGAATTTAGCCTGATCCTGCCTTTTAGACCGTTATTGTTCTCTGTCATATTTAATTTCTAGTGATGTCCTTCCAGTTCTAAGTTACTATGTGAAGGCTTTTTGGGGACAGAGACATCCTCTGTTGTCTTGTTTCAGTTGCATCTTTTGATGTAGCCAGAGATGGTGTCACAGTTAGAGTTTACTGAACAAAACCAATTCATTTTTGCTGTAAATATATGTGGGAAATACAATTATATAGAAGCATTTATTGTCAGATTGTTAATATGAGATTTAGTAAGATTTTCAATGCCAGACTCCCTCTTGACCTTTGTGGTAAAAATATCATTAATCAGTACATATCCATGACATACCTTAGCTTTTATGAACTGACATATCTTGAAAAAGTTTTCCTTCACTTAAATATATTCTGAAAAACTGTAATTCGTATTCACCACAATAGTCTGTCGGGAATCATCTTAGAAAGTACACGTAGAAACATATTTGCAATGCAGTATAGAGTATGTGATAGCTATGTAACATAACTGGTGTGGGCACACAGCGGTTGACCTGTAGTTGCAGGACTGCTAGGTAAGGGAAAACAGAAGATATGAGACTGAAGGAAAAGATGACTGAGAGGTTGTCTTTGAACCTGTGTGTTAGGAATGGACTACTTGGGGTATCAAAGTATAAAAAAAGAGATGTGTGTGAGAAGAGCTACTCTGTGAATGAATCCTGCAGTAGGAGTTGGCAGGATTCAACCAGCCCTCTTCCCGATTTCTGTATACTTCCTGCAGCATTTACTGACTTCATGAATGCCTATAGAGGATGCCCTCTGTATCTATTGACATTATTAGACCAACACAGAGTCCTGAAATCAATTCTTAACAGCTACGAAACCTTTAATTTGAATGCTGCATTAATACCCTATTCCGTAAAGTCGTCTTATAATAATATTAGATCCACCAGAGCTAAATGCTGTGTAGGATGCTGAATGTCAACCAAGGCTGGTATTGAGTGGTAGGTACTTTAGAGCTTGTAAACTCAGTACTAACTTTATAGAGATATCAACTCTTTTGTTTTATTTATAACTGACTAAACCCTTTTTTTGTAGTTTCTGGTATGCCAAAATAGCAATGTACTTATTTGATTTGTCTTCCTTTGAGAGGCATGGTAGATGGAGTATAAACTATTAAATAAAACTAATGGAGTGAGAGTCTGGTGTAGCGTATGGATGAACAGCTGCAAAAAACTAATAAAAAGAAAAAGTAGTCCCCAGGAGTTGTCATGGTGAAATATGGAAAGGGAGTGTATCTCCTGAAAGAGCTTACTTTCTTTCCCACTGCCCATCAAAAACTGCTCACTTAGGTGATGATCCTGTCAAGCTACCTTTTGTAGAGAGGCATGTATTATTTCTATCACTGATTTTCCTAGCTAAATAGTTTTAGCTGAAAGACTGTGATATATCTCCTGATATCAAACGGCAAGAATTTTACCCACCACTTGAGAACCTTTACTCAAGCACTTTGTTTGCCGGTGGGAGAGGAAAGAGAAGTTGCAGAAGCAGTGGAGATGCGTGCACTTTCAAAGGATTTTTGATATGATCTAAAAATCTCTTTCATTTTATGTCTCTCATACACAGTAGTAATAATCACGTTGTAATTTGTTTATCTGCATAATTAATGTTAAGAAGGCATAACGCACCTTTTCTCTCTCCCAGAAGCTATAATAAATAAGAAAGTCTACTGTAGATCTGAAAATGTTTCAGCTCTAAAATCTGTTGTCATAGGTCTTCCCTAGACTAGAATAAGGCACTTTGTGTCTTCCTTGAAGCTAGAAATTTCCTTTTCTCATTATTTAAAGTTGGTAGGAACTATCACAGAGATCAGATTTATATAAAAGCAGACCTCTAAGTATGGGATGGATTGACAGGATCAGCCCGGTAGCGTGCAGTTCAGTGTTTTACGTGGTGGGACTAACTGTGATGATGCATAGTCCCTCTTTTAAGTTCCTTTCTCTCCAAGGAGGAGTCTGCCTCCAGATGTGCTAGTCTATTGAAATTCAGGCTTTAAAAAAAAAAAAAAAGTTCTTTTAAAAATCTGTCTTCATATGTTACATGCATGTACTGAGGATTCATCAGCTATGCTAGTGTAAGTGCAATAGAGGCATTAAGAGTCAAGAGGTTATAAATCGTGTGCAACTTACAGAATTGGGTGCAAGGAAACAAGGTGCAGGTGACTGAATGGACACACAGAGACTCATAGTGTGAGATTATTCGTCTTTGCATACGTTTCCATATGTTTACAGTGTGTAAATAAGTATATTTATGCTTGAAATAAGAAAGAAAAAGGACTGAAATAAGCTGGTCGTTAAAGATAGAGCCTTACAATTTTCATTTTTATTAAATTTTATTTTATCTGAGTATGCTTTCATGTGCATGTAGCTATGAAATGTTAGCTCTGTAAAGTGTATTAGGGTTTACTGATGGTCAACTTCTTCTTGGAAAACACACTCTCTTAATACAGTAAAGGGATGTGTTTAACCTAAATAGTTGGAAAAGGCTGTGGAAACCAAATTTCCTCTGGGTAGGAACAGTGAGGGGTAAATCATAGGCAAACAGTGTTTAGAAATATAAGATGCCTATGAGAAACAATGACTGTTTATAAAAGTTGAACTATTCTTACGCAAAAAACAAAGCAAACCAGTTGAGTAGTGTAACGTTTGTCTAAATATTTCCATAGGTT